TTTGCGGGGGAGCGCGTTCGCGAGCGGTCAAGTCTTTGCTGTGTTGGAGAAGCCACAGGGAGAGGTGCCATGGGAGTTTCCGACTTTCCCAGTTGGTGTCCACCAGGATGTCCTGGCTGGTGGTCGGCGCCGGGGAGGGCTGCGCTCTGCACGGCTACCTGCACCTAGGTGCAGAAGCACAAAGCACAGCATCTGGCGGCCACCCTTAGTGTTTTTGTTAGTTTGGTTTTTCTCCCAGAGGCTGCCATGTGTTGCAACTGTCTCTCTCTTCTGGCTCTTGGAGCGCCAGGGTAATTTAGTTTCTTTCTGCCTCAATCCCCCCCCCCCTTTTCATAATTGGGGAAGGATGATGCTGCGCTTCAAGAAAAAAATAAAGAGGGGAATAGACTACTACTACTTGAAGCTCAGGAAAGAAAGAGATTGGAGAAGAGTTTGGAAAAGTCTGCCAAAATCACTGTTCGAGATGAAAGCAGGACTTGGTTGGGGGAGAAAAGTTACTGGTGAAATGCCGTGAGTTTTTTACATACGGGTCTGAGAAACTGATCCTGTGTGCTTTTCCGAAAGCACCCTAAAGAAAAAAAAAATGTTTGGGAACATTTCTATGTATGCATGGCACGAATTTAAGTCATTCAGGAAATCACCAAGGATGAAGTTTAATAATCCTTTGGGGCCTCTTTAATGATGCTACTGTTACTGTCATTGATGCTTCGTTTTGATAATTGGAGTCTCGGAGTCAATTTTGGTACGAATTTTTTGCTTGATTGAGTGACTTTATGAATGGTCATTGAAAAACTAGAAAATTTTAAGATTTTTTTTTATTTTTTGTTTCTTGTTTTTTTGAGAGAGGATTTCTCTGTGGCTTTAGAGGCTGTCCTGGAACTAACTTGTAGACCAAGTTTGTCTCGAACTCAAAAAGATCAGCCTGCTTCTGCCTCTGGAGTGCTGGGATTAAAGGTGTGTGCCACCACCGCCCGGTTTAAGATTTCTTTTGACTATTGATTCCCATTTTGAAGTGTTGACTAAGTGACATTCCCGGTTTACCGTGTTTCACTCTTTCAAATAAATTACGCAGAAATTGGATTATAATGGATATTTTTCTTTATAAAAACTCAAGGTATAGCTGAGTGTGGTGGTGAAAGCCTTTAATCCCAGCACTCGGGAGGCAGAGGCAGAGGCAGGTGGCTCTCTTGAGTTCAAGGCCAGACTGGTCTACAAAGCGAGTTCCAGGACAGCCAGGGCTGTTTTACAGAGAAACCAAACCAAACACCACCACCCCCAAAAAAACCCCACAAACAACAAACAAACAAAAACACCTCAAACAAAAACACCTTTATAAAGAAGTTTAATTTGAGAAATAGAAAAAAAGCTGAAAACTCTGGTTCCTTCCTGCCTTTCATGAGGTTAGCCTATTTTGGGTAGAAAAGACCAAACAGATTAAGTTGATGTGAAATGTTTCTAGCTGATCTAACGAGAACAGTTATTTGTGGTTTACTTCTAAACTGGGCAGTGCACATCTTTAATCCCAGCACTCTGGAGGCTATGGCAGGCGGATCTGTGAGTTCCAGGCCAGCCTCATACAAAGCTCGAGTTCCAGTACAGTCAAGGCTATACAGAAAGCTTGTCTCGATCCCCTCCACCCCCCTGCACCAAAAAAGTTGTTTATGTCTAGGGGAGGGGGATATTTAGAAACAGTTCATGGAAATATATTTGACATGTGTCCATTCTACAAAGCCCCTTCCTTGAATAAATGAACAAATAGATGAATAAACTTTAAAGAATGGGTAAGAATTCTGAGTGAAATGGGGGAATAGCCTTCCAGTATGAGGGGACTGTGTATTTAAGATATGAAACCTGGAAAGGAGGTGTTTCCAGGAGGAAGAAGGGAGAATTGGAAAGCTGTGTATGTGTTAGTATTAGAGAGCTTGTACCCCCAAGACTACATTGTTTAATCACAGATAGAATTGTATTTTGGTTTTGTGTCACTCACTGGTCTAGTTTGAGAGATGTTACAAGGATCATGCCCTTGAAGTTGATCCTGTTTACTTTTCAGTATATTGTTGAGGATGTCGTATGGCAGTATCTTGTTTGGAAAGAACCATAAGATGTTCATTTTGTAAGTGCAGCCCTGGTGATACCTCCCCTAAGCAGTTTGTTTTCCCTGAATGATCCTTTTTATTGTGCAACTGGCTGGGTTTCTTTCTCTGTTGACAGAGCCCAGAACTCAATTTATGTGTAAAGTGAGGGTGAGGATGTAGACCAGTTGGTAGAGTGCTTGCCTAGCAAGAATGAGTTCCTGCATTTGATCTCCAGCACCACATACAACATGCACCCTCAGCTGTATAGCAGATTTGAGGCCAGCTGGGATACATGAGACCTTGCCTGCCTTAAAAATAGAAAAGAAAAAAAGTATATATAGAATATGAATTTATATGCTCTCTCTGTTTCTTTCATTTTTTTTGTCTCAACAACAACTCACTTGGGAGCGTTTATATTTATTGCACATATATTTTTGCTGTGTTAAATACATTGTAAGATAATCAGCTAGATATAGATGAATGAATACATGTAACTAAGGTCAAATAATTGATTTAAACATCTTAATAAAACTCATGCTTTAATCATTTTAGGACTGGAAAGGAAGGCCAACCCAGAGAATACTACACATTGGATTCTATTTTATTTCTACTTAATAATGTGCATCTTTCTCATCCTGTTTATGTCCGACGTGCGGCTGTAAGTAGAATTCATTTTAAAATTTCATTGATTAAACAATTATTGTTTTGTGTGGAAAACTTTCCCTCATGGGTTTCACTTGTCTGAAATTGTTTTAGATAGTCAAAATTAAGTTGCTGTGTGATTTACTTAATTATTTTAGTTGGTAATTCATTATTCATATAAAATATAGGTAATGTTTATAACAGTAGACTTTTTGGTTTGTTTTTGGAGACAGTGTTTCTCTTCCTATTCTTGGCTGTCCTGAAACTCTCTGTAGACCATGCTGTCTTTGAACTCACAGAGATCTGTTGTCTTCTGCCTCCTGAGTGCTGGGGTTCAAGGCTCATTCCACCACTACCCTGCACAACAGTAGAAGTTTTAAAAGCACTTTCATAGATGTTTCAAAAATATATAAGCTGGTTGAAGAACTCTGGTAATTCAGAACTATAGTTTAATTTCAAGAAAACTTCTCTTAGTATAAACATAGTACAGGGCAAGGAGTGGTAAAAATGATGTAAATTCAGTACTCCAGTATGAAATTCTCAATAAATAAATCAGTCCAATATGAACAGATACTTTTAGAATTTTAAACAGTGCAGTTATTTTTTGTACTTTATTGACATTTATTTTTTAGTCTTACTTGCTTTTTCAGAGTTTGAAAATCGATTATTGAGAGGAAATCATTAGAAATAAAAATGTCTCCTTTCACATAGATTGTTATGATGGGATTCTTCCACTGGTAAGGGACTTTTAAAAACTAATAAGTAAAGAGGATTCAGAGTGGAGTTTGATGTTGCAAATTGCCATAAATGCCCCAATAAGATGGTTCCCCAGATACTTCTTTTGGGTATTGGAGGAACACAGAGGTTTCATGGAGCCCATACTGGCCTCCAGAACCTGTGTAGGTGAGGATGATCTTAACTTCTGATTCTCTTGCCTCTACCTTAAGAGCTGGAATTAGATGTGTGAGCAGTCATGCCTTGTTCATATGGTGTTAGACATTGCACTCAGGGCTTCCTGCGTAGTAGGCACGTATTCTTCTAGAGATACCCACAGCCCTTTAGCTTTTATAAAAAATGAGGTCCTTATCAGATCCCTTGGTAGAGTTGGACATAGAATTATTTGGAGATATTGATATAATCCAGTACATTAGTGCATTGTGTTAATTTAAAGTAGTAAGCTTAAACTCTTAAAACAGACTCTTCATAAGCACCATCATTGTGCCTTCCATCACTAGAGCTACTCTTTGGCTGTTTCCCACTACTGCTGGATTGCATTATGTTGTGGGAATTTTACTTTTATAACTTTTCTTCATAGCAGTGATAGTTGCAGTTTTGGATAGCAATTTGTTATTTGGACCAGCTGAGAAAGGACTTACTTTGAATGGCTTCAGTATTCATATTCAGTAGGACTGCTTTACAGAGAAAGAAACATATTCAATGATAAATACATTTTTAAATCCTTAAAATTGGTAAGTAGTAGGGAAAATATTAGCAACTGACCATTACATTGTTCTTTATTAGAGCTTTAAATAAAAATGAATCAAGCACCGGGCAGTGGTGGTACATGCCTTTAATCCCAGCACTTGGGAGGCAAAAGCAGGTGGATCTCTGAATTCCAGGATAGCCTGGTCTACAAAACGAGTTCCAGGGCAGCCAGGACTGTTATAGAGAAACCCTATCCCAAAACAACAACAGCAAACCAGAAAAAAACAAAAAAAATTCCAAAACTGAATCAAGCAATAATTAGAATTGTTTGTTAAAATAATTTAAGTACTTAGAGATTTAAAGATTATATTCTTGTAGTTATAGTTGTTACTGTAGATCCTAGGATTTAAAGTCATATAAGATGTAACACTTATTTTTTTAAGCATTTTCCCCACTAGAAATCTGAAATTCTGTAGTTGTACAGATTAGAGGTTGCTGTTTCAATTGCCATGTTACTTGCTGTTTGTTGCCCTGACTCTTCCTGGAGTCAGGTGCTCCTGACCCCTGGCGCCTTTTAGTGTCAGCAGACCTGCAGCCTCTCAGATGGCTCCAATGTGGGCTATACTTCAAGTGATTCAGAAATACTTTACAGATATGTGTAATATTCCATGTAGACTGACTAAAAAATGTCAAGGACAGAAATGCTTGTAAGTTTCTAGACATGTATATGTACTCATAAGGAAAAACTAAAATTTAGCCTGACCTTTTAAAAAAAAATTAAGTGATTTATTTGTTCAGCTAAGACAAAAAAAAGTATGTGCAAATACTGGATGTTGTGACATATAGTGGTCATTGTGAGGTAATTGACTAGTGATACTAAGAGTTCTTATTGCTTCATTGTTGCTCAGAATAGTTTGTTTTGTTTTGTTTTGTTTTTTTCCAGACAGGGTTTCTCTGTGGCTTTGGAGGCTGTCCTGGAACTAGCTCTTGTAGACCAGGCTGGTCTCGAACTCATAGGGATCCACCTGCCTCTGCCTCCCGAGTGCTGGGGTAAAAGGCATTCGAACTACCTCCTGGCTTGTTTATAATAGTTGACAAAGGTTTTAAACTATATAATCCCTTGGCAACAAGTTTTTCTTTGACTCTGTTGTTTACCTTAGAAAAATAATAAGGAAAATTGTAGAAAAATAATAAGGAAAATTGTAATGCCATATATTCATTGGCCCAAAGATGACTTGATTCCTGAAGTATACATTTTGTTTTAATCATCTTTAAAAAAGATGTGTTACGTACATATGAGTACCTGAGTGCAGGTACCAGATAAGGCCAGAGGAATCTACCCCCCCCAAAAAAAAACTAAAATCCAAAAAACTGGAGTTCCAAGTGTGTGTGACAGGAGTGCTGGGAATCAAGCTCCAGTACTCTGGAATGGAAGAGCAGCAGGTGCTCTAGTTGCTGCAATGTCTCCCCTGCCTCAGTGTTAATCATTTTTATAAATGATGACTGTAGGTAGATTAAAGGGAAATTACTCATTTTTCTAAAATTGATTGTTTTCAGACACAATCTTTCAAATCCCCACCCCCCCCCCCCCCCCGTGTTATCTGAATTTATATGCACGGGAATAAAAAGATATACTTTCTTTTTATTACAGCTTCTCAGATGGCTCTAATGTGGTAAACTACTGCAATTAACATCTTCTTATAGCTTAGGTTTTCTCATGTACTTGTAAATTACCAAAATTTATGTTTAGTGTTTATGTAGTTCATTTGGAAGAGTTGCAGTTGCATAGTTTGAAGAGGTTTGGTCTGTGTGGGGAAAAAGCACAACAGCGTATAAAGTGAGACAGCCCTGGGACTGCAAAGTTAGTGGCCCTGGATGCATATAACATCCTGAGTGCAATTAAAAACAAGTAACAGCTGGACAGTGCTGGTTCAGGCCTTTAATTCCAGCACATAGGAGGCAGAGGCAAGTGGATCTCCAAGGGTTCAAGGCCAGCCTGGTTGGTCTACAGCCCTAGTTCTAGGACAGTCAAAGCTACACAGAAGGAACCCTGTCTCCATAAAACAAAAAAAACAAACAAACAAGAAGTCATTGAGGGTTGAGAGAGCCTGAGATTGATACTATGAAGAAGGTTTTTAGTTACTTTCAAACTGGTGTCTTGAATTTATTTTTTTTTGAAATTTCCAAAATAAAATTACTAAAAATTAACATTTGAGAAATTTTCAAGAATTTTAGATAGTTTTTAGAAAGCAAACATGACTTTAAATACATGTTACTAAGGTATGTTCAATAAATTCTTAAGTTACATGATATTTATCAAGTTTCATAGTTGTTTCCACTCAATATCTAATTCAAAATTTTGGCTTCAGACAGAAAATATTCCTGTGGTTAGAAGACCTGACCGAAAAGATCTACTTGGATATCTCAATGGGGAAGCATGTGAGTAGTTTTAAAATTGTACTCACTTTTAAACTTTTTTTTTTTTTCAGTCTTCCCTATGAAATAAGTTGTAGTGAGAAGTCTATATTTTCTACTTACCTGAAGCTGTGTCTGTGTGCTTCTCCCTGTAGTTGCACAGTGTTGTCTAATTTTAGGCTGTCACTCCACCCTTGTACAAGGGTTTTATTCATTCTGTCGTCCTTTGTCTCTGTAAATTCTTATTTGTCTTGCTTTACTGTTTTCTCCTTTCTTCTGAATCATTACCTTTTAGAATACATGTAGAAAATGTCTGTTCTTTAAAAATTATTTTTGATTCCATATTTCTGTCTCTCTTTCTTTTCTTTTCTTTTCTTTTTTTTTTTTTTGAGACCCAGTCTTTCTATGTAGTCCTGGCTGTCCTGGAGCTCACTATTTAGACCAGGCTGGCCTTGAACTCACAGAGATCCACATGTCTCTGCTTCCTGAGTGCTGGGATTACAGGTGTTTGCCACCCCTGCCTGGCTAATTCTGTTCATTGCTATTTTTATTATTATAAAAAGAAAGAATTGATGTAAAAATCGCTACTTCTTTACCTGCTTGAAGTTCCTCCTGTTTAGCTCATCCTTACCATGCCATTAAAATCAGAGAGATTTGGAGTTGCCACATCCTTTGTTTCTTTTTACTCTCTTTACTTATGAACATTTGATACTGTTCCAGAGTGCTTCTTTGAAGTTCTTCACTTGGTGTTTGCCACCTTAGACTTTGGGGCTTCTTTCTTTTCATTGTTTACCCTTCAGAATATCTTTGTCATATGATATTTCTATACCCTATTGATACTATTCACTGTTGAGAGAAATTTAAACAAACAAGATGTAGTATTAAGTCTTAACTATAAAATCAAGGGTAGTGTGTTATAGCTTTACATTCATCTCTGACAGTTGCAGTGAGCTCAATAAGCACAAGTATTTGCTTCATATTTATGAATTTACTGTTGTCATCTTCCTTTAAATGCTTAACAAACTTCTGAAATATAGCATGTTCAAAATAGAGTGCCCAATTTTCTCCTTTCCATCTCCACCCACACAAAACAAAACAGTGAGTCTGTTCTCATCTTAGAAAGGAGTGATGGTATCTTATGTAACTTCATGCAGTGACTTAAGGTATAAACTTCAGTGAAATGATATTTTGACACAGTTACACCATTTGTAAGTCCTTTTCTCAGGCTTGAAATCCATGACAGTTTTTTCCACTCCAGCTCTATCCCACTTCTTCTAAGACCTCCTCATGTTTCTACTCTTTATTTGATAGTTTATTCTGTAACAAGATTTGTTCTTGAAAAACTATGTAAATATAATTGAGCCATTTGTCTGCTCAAGGCCAGGCCATTTGTGGGTTCCATCACATTTAGGATAAAGCTCATACTTCTTACTGTTCAGACTTCATGATCATGTTTCTGCTTAAATCTCTGTGACTTCATCCTCCATCATTCTTTTTTTAATCAAAGCTGTCAGTGATCTTTCAGTTGGTTTAGTTGATCTTAGAACCTCTGGGATTGCTATTCTTTCTGTCTTCAATTGTCTGTATTGTTATTGGGCTCTCATCTTCCATCCATGCTCAGATATTCTTCCAGGTATCCTTCGGTCAGTGAAGACATCTGTGACTATTCTAAAGTGCAAAATAACATCCCACCCTCATATCTGTCTATGCGTAATCAAATCCTATTTATTTTCCAAACAAATGCCATATTTTTTACCCGAAGTTATATTTATTGCTTATTTGGATATTGTCTACTAGAGAGTGAACCTTAAAGGAACAGTTGTTTCAGTTGACTTATTACTCATTAAAGTTTAGAACAGCAATGTATGGTAATTGAATAATTTTTTATAAAATATACATAAATTAGTATTATAGAAATAGAGTAGATCTCACCTTCCCTGGGATGGAATTTATTATTACCATTAGTAGCAGTTATATTACACTATCTGCCCCATGTTTTTAAGCTATAGTGTTGGTGTGTGTAGAGAATATTGTGCATAATAGGAATTCCTCCAGGACTGCTTCTTTCTTGTAATATTTTCATTCTGCAAATTCCTAACATATTCTTTACAATTTTTTTTTTTTCTGGCAAGTTTTATGTGTGTGGGTGTATGTGTCACAGCTTATATTTGGAGGTCAGAGAATAACTTGGAGTTAGTTCTCTTCTTCTACCTTTATGTAGCTTCTAAGAATCAAACTTAGATTGCTGGGTTTGTGTAGCAGGTACTTTACCTCTTGGGCCTTCTTGGCCTTCTTTCTCCTTTGCCCTCCATGCTTATTCCTAAGTTGTATTTTGCCTGGGCATTGTACAGAATACAAAGTCTAATTACTTTCATACTGGGTAGACAAGGAATTAGGAGGAATTCTGAAATTATTGCAAAGGCAATTGAGATGGAAAGATCAAAAAAAGGCTTTTTACTTTTGTTTTGAATCAAAGAAAATTTAATTATTTAGACCATGAGAATCATAGTAAAACTGTTAAAAATCCATTTTTTTTTTCCTTAGGCTCACTCTTACTCTCTCTTAAAAATGTATTAAAGTAAATATAGGATTCTTCAGTTTTACTAAGTATCTCAGATGCACTGGTAAATCGTTCACTTTTGGGAGAGTCTCAATGAATTATTTATCCACGTCATTTTTTTGTTGTTGTTGTTTGTTTTGTTTTTTAAGACAGGGTTTCTCTGTGGCTTTGGAGACTGTCCTGGAACTAGCTCTTGTAGACCAGGCTGGTCTTGAACTCACAGAGATCCACCTGCCTCTGCCTATCGAGAGCTGGGATAAAAGGCATGCGCCACCACCGCCTGGCTTTCCACGTCATTTCTTATGTTATCTGTAGGACAAATTTAGTTCTCAAATGTATTGTTTTGAATTAAGTAAAATATGTTACTAGTTCATGAAAAAGTTAAACTGCAGTTAAGATAATGTTATAATTAATAGCTTAAAGACATTCAATATTAGCATGAGTTACATTTTTTTTTTTTTTTTTTCCTAGACAGGGTTTCTCTGTGTATCTTTGGAGCCTATCCTCTGTAGACCAGGCTGGCCTCGAACTCACAGAGATCCATCTGCCTCTGCCTCCCAAGTGCTGGGATTAAAGGTGTGTGCCACCAACGCCCAGCTGTGAGTTACATGCTTAAAAGCATGATCTCAACAAAAGCCTAGGCAACTTTTCTTGAGCAGCAGAACTACATAAATAATTATTTGGTAAAATTGAGTATCTTAACATTTGAGGCACAGCAAATGTGAAGACACCAGTTGTTCTGGAGTATAGAACTTAAAAGACCTAATGATTTAAAAACTGAGACTATGTAGATACATTAGTAGAACAATTTTAAATACAAATGTGAGGCTGGCCTTATGATATGATGGTAGTGTATCTGACTCCAGAAATACACACGTCAGAGTAACATTAGAATAAAGACATTCGAGAGCAATGGAAGAAGGTGGGATAAGTAGTTAATATTTTGATTAAATATAACTGTATCATTGAAAAGCAGCCTGGCAGTGGTGGTGAAAACCTTTAATCCCAGCACCTAGCAAGCAGAGAGGCAGGGGCATCTTGGTGAGTTCTAGGCTAGCCTGGTTTACAGAACTAGTTCCAGAACATCCAGGACTACACAAAGAATCTTTGTCTTTGTCTTGAAAACAAACAATAAAACAAAACAAAACAAAACACTAAACTACCACCAACAAAAAAGATATACTGGGAAAATGTTTCATCTACTATAGTCATTTATACTAGTTAGCACATGAAGTATGACCTTGGAAATAGACACACAAAAGATCAACAGCTTGAATAGTTACAATGAACATATGAGTAATAGAAAAGGTGGTAAATCACTTGTAGATGTGATTTTATACTAAATTACAAATTTAAAGGATATAAAGATAAGATTTTAAATTTTGCTGTTTGTCAGTGAACTCTGGTGAGACTGAGAGGGAGCATTCGGCATTGTTGGTTGTGTTACTTTATAATCTTCCTGAAGTTGTTGACAGTTCTTTATAAATGAAATAGAAACCCTACATTTAGAACTGTCCTAGAGCTATATTTTAAAATGTAAAAAATGACATACATGTGAAGTTTCTTTATGCTATTTTTTGTAATAACAAGATTTAGAATTGAACTGCCTACTCATAGGGAACTAGTCAAATTAATTATAATTATACAGTATACCTCATAGCTGTAGAGAGAGAAAGTTAGGGAACTATCTATGTACTGGTATGGAAGGGGTGTCCAAGCTTACACTCTTTTGTAAACGGGAAACAAGTTTTAGAATATCCTGTGTATTATGCTGCCTTTGTGAACAAAGGTACAAATAAAGTATAATTTGTATTTCTTGTATTTGTAGAAGGCTATGCAAGACAATAACTAGTTATATAGGGGAATAGGAACTTGATGGAAGGGGCCAGGTACTCTTTAATAGTTTTATTTTGAGCCATTTAAAAGTAAAATAATTTGAAGGATAGTTGGAAGTGTCCTACCAATTGTGAATAACTAAAATTTGTAATTAATTTGATAGTGTATATATTTAAGTATTTGGGGGAAGTATATTCTCTAAATGTGACTTTTTTTAATAGGGGAGAATAATCTGAACTGACCAATTAATTTAAGGAATTAGCATCTCATTAGTTTGTAAGCTAAATTGTTAAAAATCATTTGTTCTTTCATAAACTTTAGACCACAGAGACATCCTGTTAATAAAATACTTTAATAGAGCTGTTTTTTGAAACCATTTTACCTAGGGAAATCCTCCTATGGATATAAGAAATAAAGCTTGAGCATTTCTCCTGGAATAACTTCCAAAATACATGTGCAAATATTGTTCTGCTTATATGATTTTTCTTTTCCATTTTCAGCAACATCAGCGAGCATAGATAGGAGCGCCCCCCTGGAAATAGGTCTTCAGCGGTCCACTCAAGGTACACTGTGTCACATCTTTATCTTGAATTTTAAAAACCCTTTCCTAAAGTACACACTTACTTGCTTCTTTTTTCTTATAGTCAAAAGAGCTGCAGATGAAGTTTTAGCAGAAGCAAAGAAACCACGAATTGAGGTAATGTGTTTCGTACTGAAATTGGAATTGTGTAGAAATAAGACTTCTTCACAGGCTGGGCAGTGGTGGCGCACGCCTTTAATCCTAGCACTTGGGAGGCAGAGGCAGGTGGAGCTCTGTGAGTTCGAGGTCAGTTTGGTCTACTGACAGTTCCAGGACAGCCAGTGATTGATTACACAGAGAAACAAACACGGTCTTGAAAAATAACAATTCTTCATAGTAATTCTAGCATTTTTTTTTTTTTTTTTTCCTGAAAAGTAGGTCAATAGGTGGCTTGGGTTCTGTGATGAATATGCTATTTTGTTTTCTTTGCTATTCTTTGCCTTATTCGAGGAGAACAATGTCCTAGATCTGGGGTAAGAAACTATTATCTGATAATGTTAAAGGACATGTGCTAAATATTTTAGTTTTTCAGGGCCCTTCAGTCTTGATTGCTGTTTCCATCTTTCTAATCTTTGTTACTGTAGTGGTGCAGCATTTATAAATCACACATAAATTGATAGATAGATAAATATAGTTGTTTTAATAAAACTATAAGATGGTGGGAGCCAGAATTGGTTCTCTGACTTCTAGAATAAGGTAGCATGGGGATATGCTTTGCTTTGTAAATGTGAAGTACTTACTGTTACTTCAGTAAAATATTGATACAGATTCTAGATTTCTAGTGTTTTAGTGAGCACAGATGGATTAGCTTAGTGGGTTGGTAACTTTTTGTCTCTCAGACCAAAAAACGGGAGGAAAACAGCTTAAAGAGGAAAACAGCTTAAAGAGGAAAACAGCTTAAAGAATGGTTTGCCTTGGCTCATGATTTCAACATACGGTTGCCTGGCCACAGACTTTGGGACTGTGCAAGGAGGCCAATGCCATGAGAAGGAAGGTGTGGGACAAGATTAACGTCTCAGAGCACATGCTGTGTATCTTTCAGTCAGGCCCCATTCCTAAGGGCCTGACTGCTTGTTGAATATAAATTTTGATCCAGATAGGTGTCATCACTTCATTGAGTTTTTCTTAATCAGCCACATATCTTTCAAACTGAATTTCACATGGCTTTCTAATATAAGTTATAAATCACAGGTTGACATCACAGTTGTAGCCAATATTGTCTTTAAACTCTTGATGCTTCTGCCTTGGCCTCCTGACTGCTGGGATTATAGACATGAGACACATACCCTTGCCAGATAAGATTTTGAAATAGTCTATTGGGAACTCTGTAGGAATGAGGAACTTGCCAGTTCCCAGCACCCCCCTAGTGAGGCACAGCCATGCATAATGGCAAATCTTATGCAGGCACCAAGCGAGATGTAGTGCACATACATGCATGCAGACAAAGCACTCAGTACACATAAATGAATCCATAAACATTTTAAAATGAACACACACACACACACACACACACACACACGCACACACACAATATGAAAGTAGTAATGGTGGGAAAGAACATAGAAATAGATGTCTGGGCACCGTATTGTAAACTCTTACAGTGGTTTTCAGTCTTTTTTTTTTTTTAAGCTTTTTGATGATACAAAAGCAATACATGTATGTTTAGAAGAATTTGTTTTACTTTCAGCTCAATTTTCAATAAAATGTGAGATGTCCAACATTTACAAAACAGGATTTGTAATAAATGGAGGCTAGTGGATATGTTCAAGTAAACAACACTAAGCTATGATATTTAGTAGGTAGATGCATAAACATATTTTTGGCTTATTATGTTTTAAGTTAACTGTGGTATCATAATTTGGTTTACTATTGCTGTGTTGAAACACTAACCAAAAGCAGTTGAAGGAAAAGGTTTATTTGGCTTTCGCTTCCACTTCTATAGTCTATAGTCTATCACTGAAGGAAATTAGGACAGGAACTCAAACAGGGCAGTAATGTGGAGGTAGGAGGTGATACAGAGGCCCTGGAATGGTGTTGCTTAGTGGCTTGCTCAGCTTCTCAGCCCCTCCCCCCCTTTATTTCTGTTTTTTTTTTTTTTTTGGTTTTTTTGGTTGTTTTTTTGGTTGTGAGCCTAGCCTTTAATAGCTGAGCCATCTCTCCAGCCCTCTTTTTTTTTTTTTTTTTTTTTTTTTTTGTTCTTGTTTCATTTATTTTACATACCAACCACAGTTTCCCCTCCTTCCTCTCTTCCTTTCTATCCCCCATCCACTCCTCTGTTCAGAAAGGGGCAGGTGTCCCATGGAAGTCAACAAAGCATGTTATATCACTTGAGCTCCTCCCCCGGTATTAAGTCTGGGTGAGGCATCCCTGCATGGGGAAAAGGTTCCAAAAAGGCAGCTGAAGTGCTGGGCATAGGTCCTGATCCCACTGCTAGGGGGCCCCACAAACAGACCAAGCTATACAACTGTCTTCCACATTCAGAGATCCTATGTTGGTCTCATGCAGGCTCCCAAAGGATGCTTAATCATACCGTAAGGACACTTGCTCAACTATGTTTACAGTAACATTACTCGTAATAGCCAGACCCTGGAAACAACCTAGATGCCCATCAAATGAAGAACGGATAAAGAATATGTGGTATATTTACACAATGAAGCATTACTCAACAATAAAAAACAATGACGTCATGAAATTTGCAAGCAAATGTATGGAACTAGGAAAAAAAATCATCCTCAGTGAGGTAACCCAGACCCAGAACGACAAACATGGCATTAGATGTAAAGCAAAGGTTAAGCAGGCTACAATCCACAGCCCTAGAGAAGCTAGGTAACAAGGAGAACCCTAGGATAGATGAATGAATTTCTCTGAGAAGGGGATATCTCCTGGGTAAACTGGGGGTAGGGTAGGGAGGAAGATGAGTGGAGGGGATAGGAAAATGGGAACAGAAGGGATCGGGTTGGTTGAGTTAGGGGTGAGTAAGAGGTAACTTGATAGAGGGGGCCATTTTGGAGAAACCTAGTGACAGGGAAACTCCCAGAAATCCACAGCCCAAGATTGATAGTGGGTCTTGAGGTAGATTGATACTCAATTTTTTGAGAAACGGCCATACTGGTTTCCAAAGTTCAGACTGATTACTACCAGCCTAGGAATGGCCTCATTCACAATTGCCTGGGCCCTCTCACATGAATCACTAATTAAGAAAATACAGGCTTGTCTACAGCCCGATTTTAGGGAGGCATTTTCTCACTTGGAGTTCCTCTTCTAAGATGACTCAAGCCTTCATGAAGTTGACATAAACAAGCCAGCACACGTGGTTTATTAGAATGTAGCCCTATTGTAAGTCAAGGAACCTCAGATAACAGTTCCAGACTTACATGATCCAAAACACACTTGTCTTTGTGAGAGTAAAAGGTCTTAAAGTTGAAGTACAGTATTACATGAAACTATACTGCTGTAATCTTGCTAAGGAGTTAATGTGTGGTGATTTTTTTTTTTTTTAGGATGAAGAGTGTGTGCGTCTTGATAAGGAGAGATTGGCAGCTCGATTGGAAGGCCATAAAGAAGGGATTGTACAGACTGAGCAGATTAGGTAAGGGTTTCTTAGTAGATAGTATGGATTTTATGTAAAGGTATGTTGAAAATGGGGTGTTTAGATATTACAATTTACATTTGCATCTTTTATTCATTGTATGTCCCTGTTGCCTAAGTTTAGAAGAATGCAGTTGTCCATTGGAATCTGTTGATATTAGTCTAGGATCTCTCCACAGATATAAATACTCAGAAATGCTCAAGTCCCTTAAGTAAAATGGCATGATATTTGTTTATAACCTATTGTATAAGAATTCACTCTAGATTATTATTAGACTTTGCAACTGTATGTCAAATATGAGAACAGTTGTAGACGATAATATTTCTTTTGGCTTACTTTCAGTTTAGAGTTCTATGGTTCAGATCCTGGATCCATGTGTGGAAAGGCACAGCATCATTGTTTAGAATGGACTATGTAGGCATTGCTGTTTACCTCATGGCACATAGGAGAAAAGTGGCGGGTAGGAGGCAGAGGCTGGGGTGGCTGTATGGAAGCTAGAAGGACCAGGAAATGATAGTCACAAGGATTTCACCCCAGTAAACCACTTCTTTGCTGAGTCCAACCTCTTAAAATTTTTAGAAACTTCCCCAAAATAGCACAATCAGTTGGGGAACAGGCCTTTAATACATCAACTATTAAAACACTAATGTATCTGTGGCTCCCAAAGAATCATGTTTGTCTTAAAATGCAAAATATATTTAGTCCATTGTGATAATCCCAGGAATCTCAGTAGTTGCAGCTTTATCCAGTGGGTCTAGCTTAAAGTCTCCGGAAGTGGAAATCTCTTAGCCATGATTCCCTATAAATTTAGTAATGCTGGGAGTTGGTGGCACAGGCCTTTAATCCTGGCACTCTGGAGGCAGAGGCAAGTGTTCTCTGTGATATCAAGGTCTGGTCCTGGGTAGCCAGGACTACACAGAGAAACCCTGTCTTGAAAAAACAAAAATAAACAAACAAAAAACAGTCTTTAGGGGTTGGAGAGATGGCTCAGTGGTTAAGAGCACTGGCTGTTCTTTCAGAGGTCCTGAGTTCAGTTCCTCTGACTGATGGTGACTTACAACTGTCTGTATTGGAATCTCATGCCCTCTTCTGGCAAAGTTGTATATGCAGATAGAGCACTCATCTATGCCAAAATAAATAAATAAATAAATACATTTTTTACCGACAAGTTCCATCTTTTAATATACAACATTGTGGAGTAAGTATTCTTATTACAAAATGGAGAGATGCAGCGTAGAGAGGAATGGGACCAAAGCAAGCCTGCAATCTAGAGGGCAAATGTTAAATCCTGTAAACTCATGTCCACCATCAGTGGCATATTTTGTGATGATATATGTATGCTTCAGTGGGCTTGGGTAGCCCCACCCCTATGGCCTGACTTGTTAACAGTTCACATGACCTCTTTCAGGCTGGTTCTATTCTTTACCTCCAAGTTACTGAGACAGATGTTCCATGCCTGTATTGTGTCTTTAGGTTCACTCACATAGCTTACAAGAAGTAAGCACTGCCTAGATAGCATCTTAGGACTTCCTTAGTCCCTCTCTCCAAATTTAATAAATTCTTTTCATAAACCAGTTCCCAAAGCTTCTGAATGGAAAAGTCAGGTGATCACATCAGTAACCCTACCCTGTCTACCAGTTTTCTCTGTTACTCAGTGATAACTGCCTGAGAAATGTAAAATAGGAAGATCTATTTTTGTCTCATGGTGTCAGAGATTGTAGTTGGTGGTCACATAACTCAATTGCTTCTGGGCTTATGTGTCTGTAGCATCTGGTGAGGAAGGAACACTGTGACTTAGACATGTGAGCACTGACCAGTCCGTACAGCTGTTTCCTGTTGGTCCTCTAGGGTCACTTTTTTCCTGACCCACAATTTGACTATGGACTTGTGACATTCTAACTCTCCAGGAATTTCTAATTACTCAGACAGCCAGCCTTGTGGAATCTTCACCATAAGCATGACTTTTTTTTTTTTTTTTTTTTTTCTGGGAACTTTACACTGAGCAGAGATTAATTACAGTAATTCTCACTTATTTTAGAGACAATGCTGTTTTAAGTTTTCATTTTGGATAGTTTGCATTTTGGCTGGTGGGAACACCAGCCTTGTATTACCAACCTAAACTTGTTGGGTGGTAGTTGTTTCCAGGTTAGAAAGTTCCTTTGTTAAGCTCATGTGTTAGCATTCTATAGCAATAACATCTGTTCATTTCTTTTCTTAAATATTCCTATCATATAAATACTTTGGTCTTAACTAAGTTCTCCTTGGGTTCTTCTTAGGGCCTGTTTTGGAAATTTTCAAGGCAGTAAGCCAGGGAAGTTGTAGGAATTCCTTCCTTCATTTGCCATTTGTGAGAGAATCACTGCCATTCAGTGATATCTAATTATCACATGGTGGCCTACAATTGCCTGTAGCTTCACTTTCAGGGAATTTGAAGCCCTCTTTTGGCTTTTCTGGGTACTAGGCATACAAATGACACATAGACCTACATGTAGGCAAAACACTCATACTCATAAAATTAAAATAAATTACTTTCTTTTAGAGTATTATCTTTATTATCTTTATGAATTGTTACCTATAAAAGTCCTTTGTGACTATAAGATATTAAGTATATAATTTTAGAGAAAAACTGTCACTTGCAGTGGGTGTTTTTTTTTTTTTTTAATAAATCCACTTAAGGGTAACACATATATGTTGTACTGAAGGAATCTTTGCTGTGAAATTTAAAAAATAAATTACTTTTAGGTCTTTGTCTGAAGCCATGTCAGTGGAAAAAATTGCTGCAATCAAAGCCAAAATTATGGCTAAGAAAAGATCTACTATCAAGACTGATTTAGATGATGACATAACTGCCCTTAAACAAAGGAGTTTTGTGGATGCTGAAGTTGATGTGACCAGAGATATTGTCAGCAGGGAGAGAGTGTGGAGAACAAGAACAACTATCTTACAGAGCACGGGAAAGGTAATTAAAATATTTTACTCATTCTTACAATTGTTTAAAATTTATTAATAGGTTTCAAGTTTATTTATGTTTGTGCAGCCAAGGAGTAATTCTTTTAAATTTCTGTTCAGAGCAAATGTGTGCTCTTTATATTTTGAAAGATAAGAATTTGAATTCGGAGTCTGACAGTCTGAGATCATCCAAACCCATGTAAAGGGAGGAGAGAGTGGACTCTACAATTTTCCTCTAATCTCCATGCACATGCTGAAGCTCCTGTACAGACACACTCCCACCATACACATTAATAAAAACATTAAAACATTTGACACTAGATGTTCTAGTATGCCATTTGATCTCTTAGACTCAGTACATATTTTCCTATGTGTTATGGGCTTTTCTCTAAGTTTTCTTAGTCATTGATTCTCCATTGATGCACTAACAATGGTGGTTTGGTAGAAACATTTTAAGAAGTGTGTGAGATTATTGTGAAACTGAGGTTAACACTGAAATAAACTTTAATTTAGAGACCCTTTGGGCTTTTTTGAGGTAGGGTCTTTCTTAGTGGCTTAGGCCTGTATTTGCCTACTAAGTGCTGGGAATACAGGTATGTGCCACCTGCCACTGTCTACTTTTGACTGTAGAATAACTTTGGGACGGTAGCTTTTAATTTACCGTCCCAGTTTGGTAGGAATAAAGTAAGTAGAAAAAGATGTAAGGAAAATACTGATTTCTATTTCTTTTGAATTTTGACTTGTCTTACATTTAAAGAAGCATTTTCCATGGGCCACACAGGTGACTCAGCTGGTAAAGATCCTTGAATATGCAAGCCTGGAAACCCGACTGAGTTCAGTCTCCAGAAGCCATGTAAAGATGAAAGGAAAAAAACAATACCACAGAGTTGTCCTCTCTCCACACATGGTGTCACATGTATGTCCCCATATTCTTATCATGCATGTGTGTATGCACACACAATAATAAGTAAAGTTAATTTAATTTAGAAAAACTGGAACCATTTTTCCAGAGCCAGTGAGATAGCTCTGGAGTAACGGTGCTACCCATGCAAGCCTGGAAACCTGCCTTTGATCCCTAGAACCTTTGTAAAGAAGAATGGAGAAAACTGATTCCATACATGTGTCCACATCCATGTATTTAAAATATAAAAAGGACCACTTCCAGAGCTTGGGATTATAAAGAAATGTGAGGTTATGAGTAAACTTTCAGTTTTTGTTATTTACAGTTAAATGATAGCATTCTCATTTTCATTGCTTGATATGGCTAATGCTTGACTAACACTGGCTTTTTAGTTCCTTTTTTGTTTTGTTTTGAGACAGGGTTTCACTGTATAGCCCTGGCTGTCCTTTTACTCACTATGTAGATAAGGCTGTCTTTGAACGCACAGTCGATCCACCTGCCTTTCTCTCCCGAGGACTAGGATTAAAGGCACGTGCCACTATGCCTGTTTTTTGTTTGTTTTTTAGTTTATTTTAACTTGGCAGTCTTTAACTTTCTTCTATTTGAAACACTAAAATCGTTGAGATGAACTCTTTTCTATCAACTCTAGGTGGCAGGATTGTACCAGTTTAAAAGTGTTCTAATTTAATTTATCTTTTAAAAAAACAAATCATTTAACAACTGTTTAGAAGCTAGGTTTGCTTTTATGCGCATTATCTTTTTTTGATTTGTTTTTCGAGTATTTTAAAAATTTTATTTTAAAATGTTCTTATTAAAGGCCAAAATTAAGCATTTTGACTGTTGATCTCTGTATATGCTGTGTTCATCTGCTAAATTGTAAACATGTTGAAGATACTTAGAGCAGTATAGACTTTATATTCGCTTTGCATGTGTGCCCCTGCACATTTGTCAGTGTGCATGTGGAGGTCAGAATACATGGAGAGTGAGTCAGTTTATTCCTTTCACTGTGTGGGTTCCAGGGATTGAGCTCAGGTTGTCAGGCCTGACAACACTGTCTACTGTAGATGTTAGACTGACCTATGACCAGAACCTTGTTTTCTGACTTTTTAAGTGTCAGGAAAGTTCAAGTTCTCATCTTACTTATATCTTTAATATGCCCTAGTTAAGCAACCTGATTTTATAGTATCATTAAATTATATTGAATGTCTTACTCTGTTTTGTGCTTCTATAACAGACTATCACAGACTAACTTGTAACAAACAAATTTCTGTTCCATTACATTATTATAACTCATTCTGTTTTCTGCTGCTGTAACAGTATCACAGACTGAGTAATTTATAATGAATAGACATTTCTGTGGTTCACCATTCTAGAGGCTGGAAAGTCCAAGATCAAGGAACTGCATCAGATGAGGGCTTTCTTACTGCATCAGAAATGGCGGAAGGTGTCACCTGGGTGAGAGAGAGGGAATAAAAAAGAGGGCTGAAAATAATTATTTTATCAGAAAATGATTCATAAAATCACTAAGCCATTCATTTAGTCTCCACTTAATCCATATTAAAAGTCACTTCTTAAAAAATGCTACCTTTCAATACTACTGTATTGAAAATAAAGTTTCCAACATATAGATTTTGGGGTATTTTCAGACTAAAGTATTTTATTGTTGAATCATTGGTATAAATTCATCTGTACAAAGATAATCACCTATATTTTTTGCACACAAAACTTGCTGATGCTATTTGGATTGATTCTTGTAGAGTTTATGTCTTTCAGTTTATCACTTTAAAAGTGATCTGATTTTCATGTTTTCACAGTAGGACTGAGATTGTTTGTATTTGGCACTGTGCTGACGTTTGCAGTGATGGTCAGAAGCAGTGGTTGCTAAAACTGCTGGTACTTGGCACAAGTCACCCAACATTACTAGCAAATCACAGTGTTACCAGTTTTAACCTTAATTAAAGTGTGACCCTTTAATGTACATAATGAAATTTGAGTGTGTAAAGCAGCCCTGCACATTAAAAAAGCTGTGGTTGCTGTTAGGAACAACATTTGTGTTATGGCTTTGGTTACTAACTGAAGCACCTTTTAAAAAAAAAGAAAACCATCACATTTTATATGAATGACTATGTTGTCCAGACTTAGTTATTTTCATAGACATTCATTTGAAAGAGTGTGCCAGGAAAAGCAACAAACAGTATTTGCTGCCTCTGATAAGATATGAACTTTGCTGAGAAAATTAAAATTCTTGAGTTTCTGCTTTGATTTTTTTCAGCTAATTCTTAGACTGTTTTGATGAAACTTTTATAAATGTGATTTAATGAATATGTAAGTTATCAGCAAATACGTATTTTAAAATGTTGAATAATATTGATGTTTGGAAAATATGCATTTCTGCATAACTCAGTAATAGTTTCCAGACAATCAGTTCAGGAATGAAAAAAAATCCAATTTAAAGTACAAAACTGATTGTACTTTAAAAAGTATATTTATACTTTATATACTATAAAGAGGTAATGCAGAGTATTTATGGATATGGTTTCCACTTGCAGTATCTTTTAGGAAAAGATTTGTTTTGGTGTAACAAAGAAGAATATATTCAGCTACATGAAAAACGGCCTTTTTTTTTTAAATTTTGAGAAGGTATCTTAATGCTTCTCCCTTTATTGTTCAGGCAATATTTCTTCATATCTTTGACCAAACAAGATAATATAGAAGTAAATATTAGAATGAAGCTATCATTTTTAGTAAGTCAGATATTAAACACATTTATAAAATTTCAAGTTTTAGTCTTACTACTTTTTTGGTGGATTTTGGAAAATAATTTTTATTAAATATGTTTACATCGAATTTTGCTTTTCTTATTTTTTTAAGGAGTCAATTCCTACTTTAAAAATTTGTCAGTTTTTATCTTTAGTGTCATAAATTGTAACTTTAGCTTAAAGATTTTTAGAGTCCTCAATAGTTTGTAAGATGGCAAAGTAGTCCTGTATTTGTTTCTGTAAAGAATCAGGAACTAGTTAGTATCATAGTTAGTATGGTGGTAATTATACTAATGGCATACTAGTATAATGTTAAAACTTAGTTTTTGTACATGTTTGCATAACATTTAATGTGTTTAAGCTAGGCAGTGATTGAAAATGCTTTGGTCCTTAGCCCCACTGAGGGGATAGTTTAGTACAAGCAGCAATGAGATGCAATATAAGGCATATAACTTACTCAAAAGTAAAGAGGAAAAAGAATATATTGTATAGTAAGTAGTACAGTGCTTAGAGGCCATGAAGTTGATGCTAGCCTCACCAGGAAATAAAACAGAAAGAAAGGTGAGAGAGATTACAAAGTAAAAACTAGTAAAGTAGATGGAATGATAAAGTGGGGTAAGTAGTCAAAGCCAAAGAAACAGAATACTTACATTTCTTTTTCTTTAAAAGACTTATTTTTGTGTGTAGGAGTGTTGTGCTTTCATGTATGTCAGTGCACCATACACATGCCTGGTGTCCATGGTGACCAGAACAGGATGTCACATTTCCTGGAACTGGAGTTATGGATGGTTGTAAACCACCTGTGGGTCCTGGGAATTGAACCTGGGAGAGCAACAAGTACTCTTAACTGAGACATCTCTCCAGCCCCCAAATTTCTTTTTTTTAAAATAGAGAGTGTGTGTGTGTGTGTGTGTGTGTGTGTGTGTGTGTGTGTTTGCTATGGTGCAAATGGGGAGGTTAAATGGTAATATTGTGGAGTTGGTTCACTTCTACCTTTGCATGGGTTCCAAGGACTGAACTCCGGGTGATAGGCTTGTGTTACAGGTGCTTTACCTTATTGAGTTACCTTGCTGGCCCCAGAATGCTTCATTTTCTAGAGAAGAGAATTGTATTACATTTGAAGTACATGAGAGCAGGAACCATGTGCTTGTTGATCATCATTGGATTTTAGTATCAGTTAAGGTATTTAGCTCATAATAGATGTGCATATATTCTTTAAACCATTAAATGATTGATTAGTATTGAGTGGGGTAGTAGTTCCCTTTGATAGAAATATGTTACATTTAAATGCTTACTTTTTTCTTGGTTTTATATATAAGTAGATGCAGAATAATTGGTCTGTTTAAGTATGATCTGTAATAACCAGACTCAAGGCAGTTGGCTTTTATTTTTATGTATAATTGTATTACCTTGTTTTCTACTAACTCAATGAAATACCCAAGGTAGGAACTTCATAGAAGGTTAGGGCTTGGGACATAGGTTAGTGTAGAACCCTTGCTTGACTATGTGAGGGCCTTTCAGGGTGAGGAAGAAAGATAATTATTTAGTTTAAGTTTTGGAGACTGAAAAAAACTAAGATTGGACAGCTCCACCTGTTGGTATGTATGTGGTAACAGCTCAAAACAGAACCCCTTCTGATAGCAAGGCCCTGATAGCTAATGTTCCTCACAGGACCCCACCTTTTAAAGGTCCTCTACTTCTACATCCCATGTTTAGGGGCACCTATCTCACATAGGCATCTTTGGGAGATAGACCACATCCAAACTATAGCAATCAATAGTACCTTATGAAATAGGAAAAATTAGTAGGAAGAAAGTTTCAGTATATATTGCTTAATGGATAAACTATTGCTTTTGCACATGCACGCTGGGTTTAATTAGAATCTATTTGTTTTAGAATTTTTCCAAGAATATTTTTGCAATTCTTCAATCTGTAAAAGCCAGAGAAGAAGGGCGTGCCCCGGAACAGCGGCCTGCTCCAAATACAGCCCCTGTGGTAAGATTCTTTTCTGATTATGTTGTTGTTTTTAAGAAAGTGACATTCGTTTTGTATTTTAGTGTTTTAATTGACATCTTAAACAATTTACATCAGTAGGGTGTAAAAGTTTTGTTACTTCAGCATACTCAAAGGCTGTAAAAGACCCTTCCCACTTTTAAAAGTTATTTCAGCAATAATTTGGGTCATTCTTGAGATACACCTGGGTGAGAGTCTGAAAAGGGGTTAACTAGGAAAAGCCTTCTAAGTTAGTTAACTTTTAGGTTATCTGTAGCTGGCCTATTTATTACTTGAGAAAATTGTTAATTATTGTTTAAATATAAATCATTGTTACCTTCCAGTTTGGACTTGTTATTTGAAATCTTTTGTGACCATTTCATATTGGTATATTTATTTTCCCTTGTCACCTGCCATATGGCCCATTTATTGTACCCCAGCTTTAACTCCTCTGGTGGTTGAGCGCCTCACTGTTTAAGGTTATTACTTAGGACCCTCCAAACCCTAAATTCATGCATGCCATATAGTCTCCATTTAAATTCATAAATACCCTCTAGTTTGCTGTAAATCTTTCTACCTGTTCTCAAGATTCAAGAAAGGCAAAAAATATAATTCAGATTAATTGTGTTTTATATAGAGTTTGGAAAAACATTGGTAGAGTGCTAAACATAGCCTTGGAAGTTAATATTAATTTTATTTATGCATGAAATCATTGATATTTAATCTTTACAGATACTGAACTATTGGTAATATTTAGATACCTTTAGTTGATGTACCAAAAATAACTAGTATCTGGTTGTTCTGTAATGTTTTGAGCAACTAGAGATAAAATAATACAATGTCATAGTCCCTGTCCTGTTTTGAGTTCATAGTGTAGGGAAGTATAGTAAGTGCTATGATGTTAAAGCATAGGGTGCTTATAATTACAAATTCGACACAATAGTTATTGGTAGGAAGAATGTGAAACCTTAAGATATTTAAACCATTGTCTTTGTGAATGTGAGTATTCCTTCTGTGTATTTTATAATCATTGAAAACAGTTGCAATATTTATGTTTGGCATTTGATCATACAGATGTATATATGTAGCTAAATTCTTGATAATTTTTCTTTTGTAATATTAGAGTGTAATCCTATTGTAACAAAATGAAGAATATATAAATATAGTGATTTTCCTAGGTAACTTTAAAATGTTTTTTTAAATAACTATTTTTAGGTTATTATAGACTATAAGTTTAGTATGAAATATTTGAATTAGATTACATAATTAGAAAGTGTCTATTTTCAAATTTTTAAAACTAACATCTATTACTTTAGTCTTATAGTATACATTAATAAGTGTTTATTGAATGCCTGTTACTTTAGTCTTTTTTTTCTTATTCTTTTTTTTTTTTGTTTTTTTGAGACAGGGTTTTTCTGTGTTTCTTTGGAGCCTATCCTGAGACTTCCTCTGTAGACCAGGCTGGCCTCGAACTCAGAGAGATCCACATACATGCCTTTGCCTCCCGAGTGCTGGGATTAAAGGTGTGCACTACTAACACCCTGCTTTCTTTTTGGTTTTTTGAGACAGGGTTACTCTGTGTAGCCCTGACTGTCTTGGAGCTCTCTCTGTTCAGATTATCATTGGAGAGAGTATTATTTCACAAAGTCATTTAAGTAATTAGAACGTATTTGTTTACCATATTATTTCTGCAGTTTTGATACAGGTATACTTGAAATTGTCTTTATTCTTGGTGTAGGGATGGTCAAGTTTTTGTTTGTTTGTTTGTTTTTTGTTTTTCGTGATAGGGTTTCTCTGTGGCTTTGGAGGCTCTCCTGGAACTAGCTCATGTAGACCAGGCTGGTCTCGAACTCAGAGATCCGCCTGCCTCTGCCTCCCAAGTGCTAGGATTAAAGGCGTGCTCCACCAACACCCAGCGGGATGATCAATTTTTAGTAGCAAATAATATTCAATAGTGAATCCTAGTTATCAAATGCCAAGTAATCTTACCTTATTTTGTCTTCTGGCCTATATTGGGAATAACACTTTTTTTTTAAGATTTTATTTATTTATTATGTATACAACATTCTGCTTCCATGTATATCTGCACACACAGAAGAGGGTACCAGATCTCATAATCAGGTTGTGAGCGACCACTCCAGCCCCTGTATCAGGTTTTAAGAATGTTAAATAAGCCCTTTTTTTTTTCCTTTTTTTTTTTTTTTTTTTTTTTTTTTTTTTTTTTTCAGGATCCCACATTGCGTACGAAGCAGCCTATTCCAGCTGCCTACAACAGATATGACCAGGAAAGATTCAAAGGCAAAGAAGGTAAGTTGCTTGTTTCATATCTTCTTCTCATCCTGGTCATGCTGAGTTTGAGTGGAAGTATAGTTTGATATTTAAGAATAAAGGTTGTCAAGTAACCTATGTAGTCCAGATATAGTTCAGTCACCTGCTTCTATAATAAAAGTTTTTGTTGTTGTTGTTTAAACAGCCATATTTACTCATTTATATGTGATCTGTAGCTGTTTAACTCTGACAACTCTTGTTGAGTAGTTTTGAGAGAGGTCATATAGCCTGTAACACTTAAAAATAGTGTTTGGACTCTATAGAACAAAATTGGTTACCCTCTTGTTGGTAGCTTTGCTTCTGGATTCAGATGGCTTGTGTTTCAGTTAATTTTTGTATGGATTTTATTTTTATTTCAACTGTATTCGGTCATTACCTCACATCTCTAATTAAATGTTAATAGCACTGACAACTTGTTGCAGCCCAAAAGTGACTCAGTTTCCATCTGGAGTCTGTTCTGACTTATAAGACATTAGAGTTCAAGCTTGCTTGTTTCAGTCTCCTTGGGAGCTGTGAGAAAGTTCTGATCAAGCCTATGGAAAAGAACAAATTATCTAACTAACAAGCTTCTGATGCCAGCCAAAAGGCATATAGAAATAGGGAATGAAGCTGCTTGTTGCTAGCAGGACTCAAGTGACAGAGAGTGAACCTGGCCTCTCTTTGATTCAAGGACAGTGCAGAGAGCTGGTTAATTGACTATGCTGTTCTTTGTTCTGCTTTGCCTGTAGTCTGTATATAAACAGGATCTAAATTAAACTCTGTTTGGTGTGCTGAAAGACATGGACCGGGCAGTCCTCCCCAATCTATCCTGTGTTTCTGTCTGTTTCTTTTATATTCCTTTACTCAATCCTCACATCCCTACTTAGATTACCCAGCTGACTCGTTGGAGCAGGCTCCAACAATAACTTAATTCATAGGGTTACTTCTGGGATAAACATGGTGTTGAAGATGAACTTCCTAGAATACTGTCTGATAATGTAATAAACCACCCACAAATGTCTGCTTTTATTGATGCTAGTTATGGTTATAAAGAATTTTGGGATGGGGAATGTCGTGTGTTAAACTGTTGCCCAAACTATGAATGTGTATATTAAGGGATAGGAAAGCATAGACTTAGAACAAGAGCATATTTTGTTAGAACTTGCTTGACAGTCTAGCTAATGCAGTTGTGAGCCATTTCTTTGTTACTGAGGTGAACCTATCACCAGTTTCTCTTGAAAGCTTCGTTCATCTTGACTTACTTATGAAGATATGAGATAGAAGCAACTGAAAATTTAACATTTACTTTTCCTGCTGTATCATTTGAAGTCTCTGGGCAACTTCTTAAAAAAGGGTGTATTGCTCTGATGCAGTGAATTATGTGTCCTGACTTCATTTTTCAGACAAAGGCACATGGTGAATAGGTGCCACTCAAAGACAGTGATCCATTCTTTTATTCAATGTGGTGTTTTCTTATGGAATGAGTTATGTGAAGCAGTTCATAGCAGATCCATTTCTTTAAGGGCTAGCTCCAGCTTCTCTTTGTATGTACATATCATTCATGTTGTTTCTGCACCACAGCTGCAAAATCTTATAGTTGAGATAGAGGTGTATGGTCTGTAGTGTATAAAATAGTTGCTATATGATCTTTCCAAAGAAGATTAGCTCATACTATAAGAAAATTTTTTCAATTAAAACTATTTCTCTGGCCGGGCGTTGGTGGCGCACGCCTTTAATCCCAGCACTCGGGA